TTCTATATCATCGTTTGAGGTCCGGAAAGTCATTGACTTTCCTGGAAACTCATATAAGACATCATATGTGAGTTAATATCGGCTCCAGCAAGTGCAACTAAGTTTTTAACATTATCGAAAAACAATGAAACAATTTATTTAACAGATATAAATTGCTGCTCTGAAAAATAACTTTATACATCAAAGTATTGACAAACAACAACATGATCGATATCATACGAATCGACAACATTTCATAGGCAATTGAAATTCATTGACCAACAAATTCTCTCCAGAGTGTTATTGATCCGTACACCATCATCGAGCACAAGTAATGGTACAAGATAAAAGATCTATCAATTAAACTATTTTGACTTAAGTATCAAACTCAAAAAAAGAACAGCGTATATTTTTCATCATGATTTACTTATATAAAGTTCACTACTTCCATATCAGTTCTTTTTGCTTTTGACTGTCATCTCCCGTATTATTGTACATTATGTCTTATTTTGCATCGCTACATTTCTTTTCATTTGTTTGTTGTTGTATCTTCGTGAACTAGTTAAGCTGTTTACTAAAAACCGGTGACAGTGCTAAATGGTGGTGCTACTTGTAGTCTACTACCTTTCTTCTCCTTTATATCTCTCGGCTAACTATTTAATCTCCTTTATGTTTTTCTGCGGTTTACAAACCTATGTAGATATATGCGTTTTCTTGTTCATTTAGTTGCTTTTGTGAATAAAATAAACGAAAAAAACTGCTAGCAAGCGTAAACTAACTTTCGCTAAGGCATAGCACAGAGTATCCCGAACACTGTATTCCTTGTTGGTTCAAAAAGATTACTAGATATCAAATTGAGTGGATAAAATGCATTGAATGTAATACGATGAGCTTTTACTTAGTAGTTCTTTTCTTTTTCATCATATTCTCCAATTCATCTAGTGTAAAGGCACGAATTGATGTGCGCTTCTATCAATGCAGTGATAGATGATACTACATCACTCAGTCATTTGATCTGATTCATACTTATCAATAAAGTGTTATTCGAATAAATCTGCTGTTTGAAAAAGTAATGCGAAGATTGATTCATTGATTGCTAAAGAAGCAGGGATGCAATGTGATTAGTTGCGTAGTTGGATAAGTAGTTTTTAGAAAAAAAAGAAAAGCATACTGAACCTTCTAGGACTCTAGACTTTGGTATCGTTTTCTGAATCTTTGAAAGTTCTAGGAGAAAATTTTAGGACGTTTTTAGGCACCACAATTTCGGACTAAAACTTTTATAAGCTCATGAATTTATGAGTAGAACTTGAAAGGGTTTAATATGGCTCCTTTCTTTTTTAGAGTGTCATCTATACACCTAGCAACAGTAAATAGAGAAGGACGATGACCAATATTGATCAGCTGACTTGTGACAGATCACGAAAACTTCGTGAGCTTGCTTTTTCGATCAAGAAAAGTGTATTTTGAGAAAGTGACTAGTTATCAAGAAATTTTGAACAAAAGTATTCGGAGCTAAAAAATCGGAATGACTGGATGACTTCTCAAAAGAGTCAAAATCCACACTTTTAAGGCATTATTTGTGAAATCTGATTCCTTGGTCTCGAAAACTGTTGTCCATACTTTACAAGTCATAATGGTAACTGTCCTCCTCTAGAAGTGGATCGGTGTTTCGTCATCATGGCATTCATGAATCAATATGCTCATGGTTCAACAAGTGAAAAAAATATTTTAGATTTTAGACTTTGTTTTCCATTTATGCTGCGGAATTAGAATCTTTATGTGAGATGTTAGAGTCCTCCGCAGCATAAGGTTTCGTTCTTAAGAAATGGGAACTCGCATGACTATTCATTTCTAGACTTTTTCAAATATGTCAAGACGTTTAGAAACACATTTTCTTTCGTTTTGTGCCATGTCAGTTTCCATTATCCAGTCCCTAGGAGCAGGAACTCGCTTCAGGTTCAAGGTTCTTCTTATGAATGAGAACCTATACTGTGTTCCTGGTTGCTAGGAAGGAAACCAAAAACTTTACCCCAAGATCGATTGAGGAATTAATACTTTAGTACAATACAGTTTCTGATCTTCATATGTACGTTTGTAAGATTGTATGTCTATAGCTAAATTAATTGCGACATTATCTTTATCTTGAACCGAGACCGTGATGTTAAGACTGAATTGGACATACATACCTATAGTTTGAAGAGGAGAATTTTCAGAGATATTGTGGCTCGTCTATGACTTTATGATGCATCAAGAGAAGCAGTTTGTTCATTGTTCAAAGACAAAGGAAGAGCCAAAAAACATATAGAGGGACTAGAATTTATAATAGAATATGGGATAAACAATTTTAATTGTACATAGATCAGAAATACGTTCATATGCAAGTGATTCGTATAAAGTCTTCTCAGATACTGATTTGCTGTAGAGTGAAACTTGAAAAATTTCTTCAAACTCATCTGACATTCAAAGTAATATATGATTGTCTATTCAAACGATATTAACAACTTTAGACTGAGAGATAGTTTGATCAACTTTACACTTTGAACAGACGAAAATCATCAAAGTTAGTGACATCGAAAAAAGTTCTCAGTATGATTTACAATAACATTTGCTGCTTGAACGCCAAGAATATTCAAGCTGAGAATACTAAGAGTATTCAATTCATTTCACCAGCAAGAAAAAATGATCCTTATATATTGTACATTCATTAAAATCTAAATTATTTTTTTTTCAAATGTGTTATAAGTCATCATTTCATTATAGAACATGTTTGCTTATGTCAATGAAGAGTTCTTTATTTTATCCATACTTTTTCAGGCGCTTATGTGAAAGAAGAAACGTCGTAAGAAAAAAATAACACGATCAAAATTGCATGCCTGACAAAAGTATACTTTTACAGGAGGAAAGAACAAAATTTAAGCAATTTTTTTCATCTACTAAAATCAAAATTTGAAATTTCATTTTGTTACTCTATACTCTTCAAGAGACAGATTCTTATTTTGTTTTTCATCAAGACACAATAAATTGATCCATTTACTTTGTATAGAGCAGCTAGAAATATCGGTTTATAAACAAGTACACATTACTTTCATCCTGGATCTATACCTTACAACATTCTAGTCAAAGTTCAAAGTATCTCACCTAAATAGTCTCATAATGATTGTTAATCGTTCATAAGGAGTTCAAAAGAATTCTGTATTCAATTATAAATGATCGCTAGGAAAAAATCTTAATGCAATTCATGAAAGACTAAAATGTGAAAGATGATGTAGTTGCTGTTGCTTATCATCGGGACACTGTTTTTATTTATCTATAGAGATGTTATTCATATATGATCTTTGACCGTACATCAACGACATTTATCATGATTTGTGATGAAGAAACGACTTTATTTGAGATGTCTGTAATGTGTCGTTGCTAATACTCTGCCATATTTGTGATGAGACGTTGCTAACTCGTTTGTCACGGTCTGTGATGTTTCCATGGCAAAATCTGTCATTGTCTGTGGAAGGTGCACATTTTTACCGTATATACATAAACATTCCTTTTAGATCGCGTTTCTCAAAAACAAAATGCAAATAGTTTGAACAATGTAAAAGGTATTCGCATTGTTATTGACAAGAAATCTTTTCGACAAGCTCTATTTTACACAAATTAAAGATAGAATTGCTTTATGTGTTCACAAAGTGTTATTGACCCATACATTTAATAAAAAAAACAATTTGTTTGGTTTATTTTTTTCTATTCACTATACTCGCTTCACTTGTGACATTTTTGCTGATTGATCATAAGTTGTAGGGTTTTGTCGATTGTTGCATCAAAAAAAGCAAACAAGATACATCTCCTTAACTACAATACGATGCTTTATATTTGAAAAAGTGTACAGCATTGTTATGACTTCAGCTCCTACATTACATTGTGTAAGCACCAAATTTTAATTATATTTTTTCAAATTTTATTTAGGTTTCACTGAAAGCATCGAAATTTTAATGTTGTTTCTGCACTAGTTTTAGTTTTTTTATTAGATTTTTTGCCTGAGAATTCAATTTTTTGCGTCTTTCACAATCTAATGAAAAATCTCTCTCTATGTGTAAATATATTCCTTGTGCAAAGAAAACGTCACATCTAATATGTCTTACTGCTTCTTCACACCACTGAAGTTTTCATTCATATTTTCAGTACGGATACATGATTTTTAACTCGGTCTATTCTAGAACTGTACAGTAAAAGTAACAAGAATTTATCGACACAATCACAACTGTTTCTTAAGTATTCATGTCAATCTGTAGCATTTTTTGTTTGTTTTTCTTACATTGGTGACTTTTTATCAATAGTTGTTATATCGATATTTGCAAAATAAATAGCATTTCATAAGGTTTTAGCTGTGTTCAACCGTTTTTCTGGTGAAAGTTAGCAGAAAAGACCATAGATGATAAATTGATTTTACAAATGTTGATGTTAACCAGCATCGAGAGAAGAAAAATAAAAAATTTCTTTATAGTTACTTATGAGTACACAGACACAATTTCAAAGTTCTTAATTCATTTTCATTCTACATAGATAAAAAATTTTAGTACAAGTTAGGTGTTTCGTTTCTATCACATAATGGTGTATCTGTTATCAAGCTAAGTCCAAAAGAATTGCGCTAGCTTTGAAACTGAGAAGAAAGCTTTTGGAATAATTCTATAATGTGTAGCTTATACAAAAGAAAAATTATAAAGCCTCTAAGATCTCCATTCATAGATTACGGACGTCTAGAGGGTATAGACTCGTTTTTGTGAGATGCTTATTCATGTAGAGTAAGATGCATCTTCATATCGTCATATATCGAGAGACATGCTACATGTCCTAGATCTCTCAAATCGTCATTGTTTGCAAAAAATAGTCGTCGCTTTTTTCCGACTTTAGTTTGAAAAAAAAAAGAAAAACTGTAGACTTATTTGTTTTTCAGGGATCGATATATATATATATAACATATATACATTAAAACAAACAGAATCAATTTGTCTGTTGATCCAAACATAATGCGCCCCACTTTTATTTTGCTGTTACTGATCAATGTTCGATCGGCTGTGGCTGTGGCAAGCAATTCATTAGGCGACTGCTATGCATTGGTGGTCAAGTTTGATACAACATGTGCTGCAAATGTAACTGTAGTTTCATCTATTCTTTCTACAACTGGAATTAATGTGATCTGCCCAAGTGGTTTTACTAATTCAACATGTCCTGGCAATTGGTCAAATGGTACCTGTGTATTTGCTCATAAGTTGTGTGTTACATGTTCTGCTGGCCCACCAGTTCGAATTCGTGTACAAAGTAATGGTTTGCCACGATTTTGTCCCAATGCACCACAACCAATAACTGAACAAAATATTGATTTTACTGTCAATTTCAATCCGGATGTTAGTATCAATTCATTAAATCATAATCCAACTAGTGTCGCAGCATTGGATGCCATTGTTTGCAATTTAAGTAGCCAAATATTAGCTCCAGCATCGTCAAATTTAGTAATAAACGGCGACCCATTGATTACTGTTGCTGCTATCAGCATTGATGGTGTACCGATTTTGAACGTCAACAGTGCCAACAATGCTGATCCATTTTATCCGACTGGAAACATTTCAGTTGAAATTGTCGATGCCTGCTTAGGACATCCAAATCAACAGAACATGTACCACTATCACATTGGCACGGCTTGTGCCTTAACACTACCAAATGGTAGCATTGCGCAGTGTACAAATATACCATCTTGCTCCACAAACATTGCGAACTACAGTATCTCGTCATTCAATCAATATCGTACTATAACCGTAATAGGAATAGCGAAAGATGGTCACATTATTTATGGTCCTTACGACTCAACAGGCACAGAAGTGAGTATCGTGAACTTAGCAACTTAGACAGCATTAGGGTCATCAAAATCAATTTTCACAGAACGTTGCGCGTAAGATTTGAAAAAAAAACGTTACATCAACTAATTCACCCGTTCCAGAGACACTCTAGTTCTTTCAATCACGCATAGGAACGAAACCATACTAAATTATATGCCGATTCTATCAGTACTTTGGGTTCCTTCACAATAACTTGAGTCATGCTATAACATTAGCAAGAAAACAGGAAACACGACTTCTCCTTCACACATTAGAATCCACATAAGTAAGCACCCATGGTATCCACAAAAAACCGACAACTTCAAAATGCATGAGCTCATCCGTTGACACCACCACAAACTTCCACTATCCTATATAGACCCATTTTCTCTCTAACATACAGAAACCTTACGGGCTTGTTGCAGGTACTTAAAAACTCCTCATGATTAACAGACGTTACGAACTTTTTCTCGCGAATATGCTAAATATTCTATTTGCAGGTACGAAACGGCACAGATATCTGTAACGGAATGTTTCACGACTCCATTGGTAACTACGGCTATTTTGCAACAAGAACATACCCATATGTGACTGGGTGCTTTGGACCTGCAAACTATCCGAATTTCACGCCAAGCTGCACTACAAACCCACCCAACATATACTCAATGTCAATTTATGCAACCAATCAAACTCAATCCACCAACACAACATCCTTCATGACCACAGTCAAACTAACGACTTTCGAAACGATTGATTTGAGCGTGCAAACACAAACATCTGCCTCAACGAATATTATAGCGCTACCCAATAATGCATTCTCGAACATGTCTGGACCGTCCGAAATAACAGCACCAATAACTAGCGCTGCATCGAACATGCCAGGGTCAACCGACTTGACACCATCCCTACCAACTGATGCACCGTTGAACGCGTTTATGGCAGCCAACCTGACTACAATGGTACCGACCAGTGCTCCATTAAACATATCTGAGCCCACCGATATGATAACACCCAAACTCTCTAGTGCCCCATCAAATATGCATGCGATAGCCAACATGACACAGTCACCAACTAGTGTTTCACAGAATACGTCTTGGTCAACCGACGTGACAGCATTACCATTCACGAGTGTATCCTCAAATATGTCAATGGCTGCCAACATCACAGCATCACCACTCACCAGCGCAACATGGAACATGTCTGCCACGACCCACACGAATACTCCTTCCCAGATCAGTGCATCATCAAACATGCTACTGTCAGCGAATATTACAGCACCACCACTCACCAGTGCTCCATCCAACATGTTTGGGTCAATCGACCTCACAGAACCTCCACCAACTGGCGCGTCATCGAACACATTTGGGGCAGTTAACTTGACCACATCGACACCAGCTAGTGCATCATCGAACATGTCACTGCCAGGCGACACGATAACATCACCACCCACTACTACAACATCGAACATATCTGCGTCGATCGACATCACCGGCCCACCACCTACTAGTGCATCATCCTACATGTCGCAGCCAGCCAACCAGACAGCACTACCACTAACTAGTGAGCCATTACGTATCTCTGAAACAGTCAACACTACAGCACAACCATCAACCGATACATCATCGAACACCTTCGGGGCAACCAACTTGACTATCTCATCAGTGACTGTTCCATCATACAACATGTCTGAAACCGCAGATATGGTAACGCTCTCTCTAATTACGGCCCCATCCAATATAAATGGGATACACAACATGACACCAACAGTCGCCACCGATGCACCATCAAACATGACCATGCCACCCAATATGACTGCACCACCACTCACCAGTGCAACATGGGACAACTCTACGTCGACCAGCATGACCATCTCAGCACCTACAAATGTTTCATTGTATATGGCCGTGCTACCCAACGCAACAGCCACCCCACCAACAAGTGCACCATTGCACACATTTGCAGCGGCTAACCTTACTGCACCCGGACCAACCAGTCCAACATTGAATATATCTGGGGCCACCGATATAACGTCACTTCTACCGACAAGTGACCCATCAACCTTTTATGCGTTACCAAACATCACAACACTACTAACGAATGCTACATCGAACATGCCACTGTCAACCGACTTCACAACATTACCACCGACCGCTGACCTATTCAAAATGTCCGGGTCACCAAACACGACAGCATCGTCGTCCGTGATTCCATTGTCGAACATGTCGCTTGAAGCTGACACAACAACCACGCCCTTCAGTTCACCACAGAGTCTGTATACGACAGCGAACATGATCGCCCCACCTTCAGCTACTGCATCAACGAACATGTCGGCGCAAATCAATGCAACAGCATCAACACTCGCTAGTGTAACATCGAATATGTCAATGGGCAGTGGCATGACGGTACCAGCATTAAACACTGTGCTCTCAAACACTTCGTTGCCGGCGAGCATGACACTACAACCATTCACCAGTGAACCAGTCACCATGTCTATCACAGCCAACATAACAGCAGTATCATCAAATGGTACATTATTCAATACGCATGGAATGGCCAACCTAACAGCATCAGCATCACCAACGACTCAACTTTCCAGCACATCTAACCCATCCAACATGACACCACCATCACTCGCTAGTGAACCATTAAACACATATATGCCAGCCAATATAACAGGACCTCTCCCCACTAGTGGCCCATTTGATCTGTATCCCACGGCGCACCTGACTGCATCGCCTCTGACGGGTGCAACATCTAATATGTTGTGGGTAGGCAACACAACAGCATCAGCATCGTCAATCAGCGAACTTTCCAGCACATCGACGCCAAGCAACATGACAGCGTCCTCACCAAATGGTGCAACATCCAATATGAATCCTATAGAGAATGTAACTGGACCGCCACTAACCACTCCATTATCGAATATATATGGAATGGCTAGCATGACAGCATCGGCATCACTAATCAGTGAACCTTCCACCACATCTACGCCAAGCAACATGACAGCATCGCCACCAAGTGGTATACCATGGAATATGTATGCTACAGCTAATGCCACCGGAGAGCCACTAACCAGTGAATTATCGAATATATTTGCAATGGCCAACATGACAGCATCAGCATTATCAACCAGTGAACGTTCCATCACATCCACGCCAAGCAACATGACAGCATCCTCGCTAAGTGGTGCACCATATAGCATGTATGCTACAGTCAATGTGACTGGACAGCCACTAACCAGTGAATTATCAAATATCTATGGAATGGCCAACATGACAACGCCAGCATTACCAACCAGTGAAATTTCCAGCACATCTACATCAACCAACTTCACAGCATCCTCACCAAGCGGCGCATCATCTAATATGCACGCTACAGCCAATGTGACTGGACAGCTACTAACCAGTGAATTATCGAATATCTATGGAATGGCCAATATGACAACGCCAGCATTAACAACCAATGAAAATTCCAGTACATCTACATCAACCAACTTCACAGCACCCTCACCAAGTGGTGCAGCGTCTAATATGTATGCTACAGCCAATGTGACTGGACAGTCACTAATTAGTACATTATCGGATATGTATGGAATGGGCAACATGACAGCGCCAGCATCACCAACCAGTGAACTTTCCAGCACATCGACGCCAAGCAACATGACAGCATTTCCACCAAGTGGTACACCATCTAATACGAATCCGATAGCCAATGTGACTGGACAGCCACTAACCAGTGCATTATCGGAGATGTATGGAATCACGAACATGACAGCGCCCGCATCACCAACCAGTGAATTTTCCAGCACATCGACGTCAACGAACTTTACAGCGCACTCACCAAGTGGTGCGGCATCTAATATGTATGCTACAGCCAATGTGACTGGACGGTCACTAATTAGTACGTTATCGAATATGTATGAAATCGCCAACATGACAACAACAGTATCACCAACCAGTGAAATTGTCAGCATATCTATGCCAAGCAACATGACAGCACCGTCACTAAGCGGTGCATCATCTAGTATGTATGCTATAGCCAATGTGACTGGACAGCCACTAACCAGTGAATTATCGAATATGTATGGTGTGGCCAACATGACAGCAGCAATATCAACAACTAGTGAACTTGCCAGCAGCTCGACTCCAGGCAACATGACTGCAGCTTCACCGATTGTTGCACCGTCGAATATGTATGGGACAACGGATTTGACCGTAGTTCCGTCTGCTAGTACACATTTGAACACGTCTGTGCAAGCTAACACGCCAGCATCAGCGTTCTCAAGTGCCTCACCGAATACATCTTGGACGGTTAACAGTTCCGTGGCACCAGCAGTTAGTGTGTCTTTGAACATGTCTGCGGCAACCAATATGACACCACCTACCAGTGCCCCAATGAACATATCCGGTGCAGGCAATATAACAGCATATATTCTGGTCAGTGAAACGTCGAGCATGCCTACGCCAGTGAACATGACAGCCATACTGTCTACTAGTGCACTATCAAATTCTTCGGCGCCAGTTACTACTAGTGCACCATGGAGCATGTCCACGTCGGCTAACGGTACAGCATCAGTTATTAGTAGTTTGATCCCGGATATGTCTACGCAAGGAAACATGACAGTACCAGTGTCAAGTATGGCGCCATTGAATATATCGGTGAATGCGAGCATGACAGCCGTAGAACTAACCAGTGTGCCAGGAAATATGTCTGCGGCTGGTAACATAACAGCAGCCCCACCTATTACAGCGGTATCGAACTTGTCTATGCTGGCCAACATGACAGGCCTCTCGCCAACGAGTTCGCCGTGGAATGCTTCTAATGCATCCTATAGTACAAGCGTCACACAGGGTACGTTGTCATCGAGCACTGTTGGTATTAGTTCGCTGGGAGTAGTAAATACAACGGCTACTTCTTCGATGTCAGGTCAAGTGAGTCCGTCGCAGCAAGCATCTGCAAGTGCGTCTAATGCTGCTGTGGTTTATGAAGTCGCATGGTCAATATCGATGTTTTGTTGCGCTGTGTTCTTCATCGGGATAGGTGGTGCCATTTTCCCATAAGTGTGAAAAAGATGGCTATTGAATTCTACTTATGAAAATTTTTTTTGTATTGACGCTCGTGCTTTTAAACATCACGTTGTTCATCGTCTAGTTGCATGATGTCGATGTGTTGTTTTGTGAAGTTTGTTTTATTTTGAGGACAGTGATCTTTAGAAGCCCAGATTGATGTGTTTTGTTTTTGAATTGAATAATTTTCGGTTGGTCATTCGATTAGATGTATTTTGCTGCAGAATTCTAGTGCTTAATTTTGTTCATAGCGATGAAGAGGGTGGCATAACAGAAGATTTGCCCGCCACCCAAAATCGTACCATAGATGTGAGCTCTTGATTGGAGAATTTCTGTACATGACGAAAGTATTAGTATACTCTGGTTTGTAGAATGACTGCTTATGAAAAACGGAGTTCATAAACATACATTGGATGTGCAGATGAAGCTATGAAAGATGTTTGTTATTTGGTTGGAAAAACTGATCAGAAGTATTCATGGAGAAGCGTTTGGCGTGAAGGGTTGTAGAAGGTTAAAAATGGACTAAGTCTCAATGAACAGCTGCCTTTATCCAAGGCAAGCAAAATGGCAACTACTATCAGATCAGTTTTCAATACGGTTTGTTTAATACAAAATGCTACGTTATCTGCATCTTGGTTTTTGTAAATAAATCTAAAAATGTATAAAAATTTCGACTTTTTTTTGACCTAATCATCGTAAGCTGGACGTTGAATTATCGATCTTGATAAGGTCGATATTTTCTCATTGGGACTAAGGTGCGAATCTAGAATTCGAGCTTGATGAATCAACTAGATGTATTCGAATACGGCTTTACTCTCATTAGTGTAAGCATTCTCGTCTGAGTGGAAAAGGGAAGCGAAGTTACAGTCGCTTGTCAGTTACGTCATCAAATAATTAATAGTAATGGAAGCTTCGCGCTTTTATCAAATAATAAGCAAGTTATATGCAAATAACGACGTTTTTCTATAAAGTTTGATCATAAACGACCTAAGTCGAAAAATCCGTATCTGACTTCAATTTCTCGAAATTTTCAGTGTCTTGTTTTTTTTCGCCGTGAAAAGACTATTTTTCAAAAACAATGATCCTCTGTAAAGTTTAACCGAAGGTGACCGGTGCCGAAAATGCTATCTCCCATTGAAAAATCAGGATGATGAATCTCAAAAAAAGGCTTTACAAATTCGGATTCTTCGACCCCGATTATCTTTAGTAAAACTTTATGGCAAAATTGTTATCTTAAGAATATTTTCATTACTAGTTACGTTGCCGCGTAACTGGTGACAACCGTAACTTTCCTTTCGTAACCGAGACAAGAAAAACTCTTACGCTCAATTGAATGTTTATAAGTGTGAGCTGTACACTCTTAGAACATACTGCGAAAAAAATATTTGTTTGTGAAATCATTCGTCTGCTGAGTTGTAAAAGGAAATTTAGGTATTCGAAATGTATTGTTTGATATTTGTTTTCGATAAAATAAGAAAGAAGACCAGATCATGCTAAAATGCATAGTACATAAGCATAAGAGTATTTTGTTGATTGATCAAACACGTACGTCAATATCAAGAGCAAAAGAAAATATCTTTCAAAAAATATCATCTAATAAGTCAAAATAATTAATAATGAAAATAAGTGCACAATTATGTAAGACGAACAAAATATAAAATAAAAAATTAAGAACAGCTAAAATTTTGACATAATTCACAAAAAGGTGATATTTCGGTATCTATTTCACAGATACCATCATCAGATGAAAAAACCACCAACATAAACTATTCATACATCTATATAAGATTTATTATAAACCTATTATAGTATATGTAAATAAGAATATAATGTATTAACACATTTAATAAATAAATTCATTTATTGATCATATATATATAAATATCGAGCAATAAAATTAACTAAATGATAACGTCCATTTTATTGCTGTATTAGTATCATTATAAAAATGAAAATAAATCAACAATTATCTAAGATAAACAAAATATTAAATTAAAAATTAAAAACTTATAATTAACCTCGTCCAGATTTATTTATTCAATCGTATCTGTTAGTTTTTTTCAGTTACTTGGACATCGATAGTAATTGATCGTCAATGAAATAGGTCGTCGGATTCATCAAAAGAAGAGTTGAAAACATAGGTGAAGAATTCAAATGGATGAGTGATGGAAGTGAGAATGAAATACTCATAGAACATGGTTGTTCCTGTTCCTGTCCATTGTCATTGAAGATATCTACAATTTTTTCTGTTTCTAGAAGATTTCAAAGAAATTTTCCACATCGTTTTCCGTAAACTTCAGTTTGAGCTTGTCACCTTGAGTGGTATCTTTTGTGCAATGCTCGTTTTTCTTTGTCCTTATGACCATTCCAATCACAATAAATGCATGTTAACCTCATATTTCTACAGCTCAAACCGTAACAATCTAGTAATCTGAAATCAAAGAATAAATATCGAAGATGTCAGAACAGTGATACGAAAGGAAAGACAGATAGAAAGAATACAAACGAACAAGAAAGTCACTATGATCAAATAGAAAACAAGAAAATTAGGGAAAGTATTGAATAACCTTATGTAGTGACTCTTTCACTACTATATTATTAACATCAGAACAAAACAATGAAATTAAGTATCATACTAAAACAACAGACAGTGATATATGTTTCATGCATTCACGTGCACAGAGAATCAGAAGAGAACACATAAAACTGAACTTCAGATCAGAGCGATGACATATTGCAGTTTTTCTCCACATGAACAAAACGATTTTTCGAAACATTCGTAGAGTCAAAAATTATCTAAAACATGCGTTCCCATACACGGACAGATTACACACTTCTAGTTGTACCAGCAACGATCCACATTCTTCAGTCAACATTAAGCAGAAAATACTTTCTTCATGCCACTCGACAGTTCTTAGTTATGATTAGATTAAATATTTATCCTTAATTAATATCAATATTTTATGAACATAACGATAGACTTAATAATAATATCTTACCATTTTATAGAATAAAGTATGCTATTTGAAATTTATGAGAAATAAAATCTTTGTTAGATGAATGTAACTCGAATAACATTAATCACATTGATAATTTTAAAAAAACAATTAATATAAACTTCATATATATGTTATATATATTGTTTATTTAAAAAGATATTTGTTTTCAAATGGAATTATTCTATTATAGTTAATTTAATGTTTTGATTAATTATTCAATATGATAAAAATCCATACTTAAAAAAAAAACTTATCTTTGACATGTTACGATTGACGTCTTCTAAAATTCTTGTTTTATTATCTAATTTAATAGGAATATTTAATTTAAATGATCAATTTATCTAAATGAATGTTTTCGTTTTGTTTAGTATTAGATACCTATAAATAATACAATTGTTATTTATCAATTGAATAGAGATTATGTTTATCAATAGGACTGACAAAAAATAGAAAATATTTCTATCATTACTTTCTTATAAGGCGAACATGTGATAAAATATTGACATCATCATAAACAAGATCTAGGAAAATATATCTTATTTTCACCTTTTTGTGTACTCAAAAAGTGAGTACACTTCTAGAATCGGTCAGTGT